GGGGGCGGTGTGGGGGGGGGGGGGGGGGGGGGGGGGGGGAAGTGGCCAAGTTAGAACAAAAGCTCGGCTTTGCTTCAGGTGGAGCTTTCAAAATCGTGGCCAGTGGTCGGGATGGGCTGATACGGGAACCCGAGAAGGATTCTCCTGGGAGAAACTCCTTTGGGAAATTAGAGATCCCTAGGACTCCTTTCACTTCGGCAAGCAGGTACGAAAAAAATGTTTTATATAATGGCGGCTGGGACGTTTCCTACTCGGGGAATCCCGATCGGCTGGAATCGAAAAAATTATCAGAGGGTATTCTATTGGAACTTTTTTCCTTCCTTAAGGATTTTGGTGATGACCTTGAGAATAATTTCTCGACACTTTCCCGGCTGAGTCACTACGTGCATTCCCCAGAAACGAAACTTTTCGATTTGTCTAGAAAACGAACCAAGGGTAATGGAGGGATGACTCCCAAGCGAGCGGAGGAGGGATGAACCTGAATTAACTACTTGGGATGACCCACACGACTGCACGGCATCCACTGCCATGTCTCGGGGACGGGAGGGAGTCATCCCCACTTTGCATCCCATCAAGCTCGAGTCCCAGTCCGCTTCGCGTGAGGAATGTCATTCCGTAGCTACACCGGGTCCAGATCAAGGTACTTAGAGTGTTTAGGACGCGTGGAGGAGAGCAGGCATGTCCATAAGTGGGCACGAGAAAAGCTAATCTAGGAGTGCATCTATGCTCCTTCGTGGAGCCGGATTTTCTCCCATTGCAAAAGCGGACTGTCGCCACCAAAGAACCACGACTGTAAGTGTCAGTGCGAAGCGGGATGCCCTACTGCACATTTTCCATGTTTTTTTTTTACATTTATTTTCCGACTGTTTAGTATCTGCCAATATGCGAAGTATAATAGCGTACAAAATTGCGAGATTCATTGTAAAATGAATTGGAGAGGGTGGCAAATCGTTCATTGAGACAAGTATAGTGACCCAGAGGCTGGTTCGGGAGCAACTGGGGCACTAAGAAAGTCCTTCATTTTCTGTTTTCTTGTAGACGGATGATGAGGAGCATTTCATCATTCAAGGTGCACATTGTGACACATGCAAGGCCACTGTTTCTCCCCATTCTTCCCTAGTCCAATTACAATGCTATGACGTGAGAAAGGCCCTTTTGATATTTAGAAAAGTCCAAGGAATGCAGAAGAAAACCTCTACATAATCAGTGTGCATCTGTTTCTACAACAGGAAACTGATGAAGTGATAAGAATACTTAAGGCTTACGAAAGAGTTACCCTCCCGCCGCAAGAGCTCGGGAAGATAATGCCTAAATTTGTGCGAGCCATTTGGTTGTGTAAATTAGATGTTTTTGTAGCGCATGCGTATCGCAGAGGTTCTCTCTGCTGCGCTGAGAATTCCAAGCCTCTTGCGCAAGGGGGGCCGGAGAGAGGGGCATGTGATGACGTCAGCGAAACGTTCCACTATAAAAGCCGGCGCTCGGCTGAAACTATTGCACTACCTCTTCAGCTTAGGCCAAGGTAGGCCGCATACTCTCGTTCTCTCGTCGCTCACTCATAATTCCATTTACTTGGGGTTGTCAGAGCTACCCTTGGCGGCATTCTATGCACATTGCTTATCTATTCGTTGATTTCGCACATATTCTTCGGTTCCTTACACTGAATCTCATCATAGCATTTGTTATTTATGAAGGGCAGTAGCAAGGTTTGCATTGTCGCATCCTGTAAAAATGCCTATAGGAATCGCCATGCAAGAAATATTTATGTTCATGTACTTCCAAAATGTACTGACAAAAGAATCGAATGGCTTCAAGCGCTGGGAAGAAAATCTATCCCCCGTTACGCTTTCGTGTGCTCATATCACTTCTCCTCAGATTCGTATTATGGTGGAAATGCTATTAGGCGCTTGAAAAAAGATGTTCCAACAAAGAATTTGACCTTTGAATCAACGTCTTCTCCCAAATTCGTATTAGACGGTCCATTTCAACATGCGGAGGACCAGCAGGTCTCCTCACCTCTTGCGAAGGACGTTAAATCGTCGCAACAGAAGACGGGTTCACTGAAGCCCACAGAATCATGGCCAAAGGATGCTGCAATTTTAGAAATTCGTGAAATACCATGGAGAATCTGATCTCGATAGAAGGGAAAACGTATTAAAAGGTCTTTCTGAATCTTTTCAGAACAAATACCCATATATCCATCCATTGGCTATCAGGTCCTTCATGCATATCAGAACTCTGGCAAGAATGAGACACCTGAATAGGGTAAATATAATGAGGGTGAGCCATGATCGTGAGGAACGTAAAGCAAAAAAGTTGAAAATGATGACCTGAAAATGAATTTTCATGACACCTACGATACAATGAGAGATGCCCGGACATAGATCTCGCAAAAACCATTCCAAAAAGAAAGATTTTCATTGTAAAGGGTATTTTCACAAATTTCCTATTTCGCGTTGCCATGGTCTTGCACGGGTTCCCTTGCCCCAGGCGCGCTTCCCTACCCTGTCTACTTGCACAGCATGCCCGAAAGTGCGAGGCGTTCCACCCCCCCCCCCCCTCCAGATCTGGATGGAAATGCATTTTCGCTCTCCCGCTGCTTTCGACAAGGTCGTGAGGTCATCGGGTACGACCATGACATCCAAGTTCGGCTGCTTCTGCCGATATGAATCATTCCGTTGCTGTACTGGGCCCCGTGGTCTCCAACGTGGATGCCATCGGCATCTCCCGTTTCCCTCTTCAACTTTTCCACCATTTTCTTAATTTTTTTTTTAGTTCCTATTGCAGAATAAACCGAGGTGAATCAAGTAAGATCATCATTGCACCCTGACTCGGGGACATCAGGAGGTGCTCTTCGAAGTGAAACAACTTAAAATACAAGCTAGTCAGCCACACCAGAAGAAAAACCGATACTTTCTAAGATTGTCGTATTTTTTAGCACTGAATATTGCACGTCAGTCGATCACATCGCAGCGTTAGGCAGGAATATACAAATTGAAAATTAATGAATGACGGTAGAGGAACTTTCGGGCTGTTCCTGGTTTAAGGATTTGGCCACGTCGCCCCCTTTGGCGACCCAGTCGTTGAAACTCCCACTGTACCACCTGTATAAAAAAAAAAGAGGAATGGTTCACATTTAATTCCGTACAATAAAATTTATTTTGACTTTTGCCTTCGAGCGATCGGTCTGACTTGAGCCGGTGATATCCGAGGGGTCGGAGCGCGTCGATGGCCAGTTTCGCCCTCCGCCCGGTTCCGCACATCATCACCACGTTCTCCTCCTCTGGATTCGGCTTCCTGCATCCGTATTTCTTCTCGAAGGATTCCGAGTCCATCTTGAAGGCTTCTTCCACCTCGGGAACTGCAATGCGAGCGAAGAAGCCCATCCAGATAAAAATTGCAGGATGGCAAGCGCAACATGAGCAACAAGCGCAACGTTTCTCTTCGTTCGAGCGCGTTCGTAATTTCAATACCCAATGGTTACGAATGGCGGGACGCGTTTCTTCGAGCTTGATGATAGATTATTTGAGGTAAGACAATTTATGACAGTTCTTTGGTACCTTTTCTCGTTTCACCTCTCTGTGTCTCTTCCTCGCCGACCTGCAGTGATTTTTCGAGGAGATGGAGGAAAAAAGAGGAGAAAGGCTCACGGGGGACGTTGCAACTTCCGGGGACCATTCCGGCGTTCCCGATTTCCGGTCTGTTCCGGCAGTCCAACAGCTGGATTTCCCTCTTGGACAGCTTCTCCCTCACCTCGTCGTATTTCACCTCGTCTAGAGCGACGAGAAGGATATGAGTCATGAGCGTCATTAGTAAAAGGAATATCGCTAGTACCGAGAAGTACTTCCAGGCAATTACGGGGAATTCTCGTCTCGGTAGGTGATGGCGATCGAGTTTCTCCCTTTTCCGTCATAGACGTATTAAAAGAACCGTTCTTCCTCGTTTTGGCGAAGACGGCTCTTAACCGACTGGCATTGTAACATTCCCTCTCAGGGTGCCGCATCCGACGCCGAAATGACTCGAGTAAAATACGAATTTCACTCGACTGGAAAGTAGGTTTTTGCCTTTGGTGTTGGGGGGTGGCTTTTTTTTTGGGGGGGGGGGGGGGGTGTTCCACGAATCGTTTTCCTTTCAGCTGGACGGCGAGATTGCCGGGCTCCGATCGTCGCGCTGCATCGTGACGTTCGAGTGACAGACGACGGAAAATGGGAGAATATGCAATTCGTGCATTTTTTAGGCAGTCGGATTGCATCAATGAAGAATGCTTTAGCCGCAGTCGAAGGTGGAAAATTCCAGGTCGACGGAAACAAGAAGAAAAAAATAAACGTAACGACCACGCCATCGTTCGTAATAGCGATCGCGCGCGCCGACGATCTGGAGACCCCTCGGGCAATGGTGTCGTCAAATTTTCGTCACGGAGGGGGAGCTGGAACGTCCGACTTTTTCGCTATTGGAGCCGGATTTGAGGGTCGAATTGTTTCGATAGCAGAATCTGGAAACAGACGGCGATGCCGGAACGGAATTGGAAAAAAAATAATAATAATAAAAAATTGCATTCTCATGTAAGTTATTGCGATTAGTTTCCACATTTATTCGTTAATCTATCTCTTCTCAAAAATACATTGATGACGTCTTATAAGTCGACAGTTTAGCTTCTTTCTAGGCTTTTATCATAAACGTTTTGTCATGCTGAATGTTTTCTTTCGTTTCATTATAAATATAAATATATATATAACAATACAAACGTACGTTTACGGAAAGGGGCTTAGGAGCTCCTCCAATACGGAGGAGCTCCTAGAAATATACAGGGTGATTCAAAAGTCACCTACAATTTTGTTGGAGGCCGTATATGGTATCAATCGATTCGTCTGTTCCTCCTGAGCAATTTGGTAGAACATTAGGTAACAGATGGGTGCGTTTGGAATCATTGGAATGTGCGTTGCTGTTCTTCGGTTCCTCCCGTCAAATGGTTATATCTCGTGAGACAGTTGCTTGTTTATATCAAATTTAGTATCGTTAGAAAGAGCATAAAATACAGTTGGAATAAAGTATTGGAACTACGAATACCAACGACTGCAAATGTATATATCGGCCCCGAACTTAATCAAACGCTTTGATTAAGTGAAAGCTCATGTTTTAGCTTCGGAGAAAAATGTCTTAGAACAATCTAAAGACGACAGTTTCACAATTGAAATGACACCATAGCGAAGCTTTCATCTCAAATAGAAGTTATTGCAAAAACCGTCTCGCAATTCCTTTCCATGCGGTATACCTGTAGGCGCCCGGAGCCGACAGGTATACCGCAGTATATAGGTGACACTCAAATGCGTATATCTCGAGATCGGAACCAGCTTTTAAAAAATCTCTGGGATTCATTTTCTTATAATCAACATTGCATACCGGTTCTTGTCAATATCGGAAATGGTTTGAGCTCATCCTCTGGTCGATTTGGTGTGGAGTGACCCAAGAGTCAAGAAATGTTACGCTACTTTTGACTCTTTTTCGGTCGTTTCTTCAAAGTATCTTTTGCCCCACGCTAATATTCTGCAAAGCTGCTCGGGAGGAACAGACGAATCGATTGATAACATATACGGCCTCCCCAAAAAATGCAGGTGACTTTTGAATCACCCTGTATATTTCAAATATTTACAGAATTCGACGAAATCTTTTTCCATCTCTGCTCGCGTGACGAGGAAACGGAATGATTTAGACGGTTACGTGAGAGCCGTCTGAATTGCTAGGGGTGGCTTTAGTTCCGAACGGAACCGCGGATCGATGCTTGCGGGAGCCTCAAGCGAAAGCGAGAGCCATCACCCTGGCGATGGAAGCGTGTCGAACTCCTCGGAATGACGGAAGCGACCGCTAACACCTTCCGAGGACTCTCCCTGGGATGGTTGGTGCGGGGAAGGATGCGACCTCTCCTTCAACGACTGCGCGAACCTTTCTTCCCGTGGGGATGCGTTCCGACGGCGTGGAAGCCCCGGTAGCACGGCGCTGGCCGTACCCTATTTTTCGCGACCCTTCCAAGGGCGGGTGTCCAAACGGCTCCCGTCGATAAGGAAAACGGTCGTCAGTCCTGCCCGGTCCAACTTTTTCTTCGCTACGGCGTCATTCCTCGCGCTGCGGTCGAGCGACAGACCGAAAAGTCCTTCTAATGCGGTTCGACTTTCACCCTCGGATACCAGACCTCATCGATTCGTGCATCGTTTCGAAAACAAACTGAACGGATCTCAGACGCGTAAGGGCCGTTACGCGTGCACATGCGCATAAAGGCTCGCACAAGTACATATTAAATTCTTAGTTCGCAATAGCCTATTTTTAAAATGCCGAACATGATGTCGAAACTGAGAACAAATCTCAATAATGCTCTCCTTCTTCAGTTATGCTTAGTAAATGAAATCGGAAGAAATTAAAGAACGTGTAACTGAAAATAAAGTTCTCGCTTCACTAAGAGAACCTGGCGGCATAAAGAATTCTGGAAGCGAAGAACTTTCGGACGAATGTCTCACCGACGGAGCAATTGGACGAGGCGCTGGAGACAGAGTTCAACACAGATCCCATGCCGATCGGTGGTCTACTGGACGCAGGACGCACGGGAAGGGAATGGAGGAGGTCTCAGGACGCACTCTAAGAGAATGAAGGAGGTCGCAGGCAATGGGCAGAATTGCGCTGCATGCCGGTCGGGCCGTCTAGGAGAGATCTGTGCGGCAAGACTTTCTCTGGCCCTACGCGATTTGGAACCCTTTTGCCAAGAGCCGGACGCGTTGTCCATCCATTCGACAAGTGTGGCATAGCCATCGCCTTATTTATAGAATGAGATGATGACTTGCATGGCAAAGTTTTCCGAGCGGACAGGGACTGGAATATTCAGTTGATGGATTCCTCGGCTTAATGGCACTGCCAGTTTGCCTTAGCCATCATTTTCGTGCAATTTACCTTCACACATTAAATCATTCTCATAGCCTTGATGCATGAACCGAATCTTATTCCATATGCTGACTGTCCGTGGCCACAGTAGAGGAGCCTGTGGGGAAGAATGTGGCAAAGACAGAATCAGATTAAGAAGTTCGGCCTTGCTCGAGGAAGGGCATTCAAAATTATGGCCAATGGTCGGGATGGGGCGATAAAGGAACCCGCGAAGGACTCTCCTGAGAGAACTTCCTTTGGAAATTGAAGATCTCTAGGATTCCTTTCACTGCCGGCTCCATTCACTTCTGCATGCAGGCACGAAAATGTGTTATATAACGGCAGATGGGACGTCTCCTATTTGGGAATCCCGATCGGCTGGAATAAAAAAAAAGTATCAGGTGGATTCTGCTGGAACTTTATCCCTTCCCTCAGGCTTTTGACGATGACCTTGAACATAATTTTTCCACTCCTTCCCGGCCAGGTCGCTACGTGAATTCCCCAGAAACGGAAACCAGAACTGTTCTTATTTTTAATTGTTAAATCTTTATTTTAATTTTTTTTTTTAAAGAGGGATTTTGCATTACTTTCAAAACAAAGATTTTGTCGGTAGAAAGGCAAGGAAAGAGAAAAAAGTAAGAACTTTTACACGAATAATGACAGTTTTAATCCAGTTCAATCGTGATCCAGAGGATACTCCGTTCCAAAACGTTCTGCGAACTTTCGTGGCGTCGAAGACACACAGATAGATAGACATATCGACTTCATCTGTTGTACTATGGGAATTAGAATGACTGGTTTCACGTAAAAAAAAAAGAATTCTGGTTTTGAATCTGTGGGGGAGGACACCAGTATTGAGGGAGGGTTCAGATCGGATCGTGAGTTTGGCATCGGCGACAATGGTTTCCGATTTTTTTCTCGCTTTTCGATTTGCCTAGAAAACGAACCCAGGGTAATGGAGGGATGACTCTCAGTCGAGCGGAGGAGGGACGAACCTGAATTTACCGCTCGAATGACCCACGCGGCTGCAGGGCATCCACTGCCATGTCTCGGGGACAGGAGGGAGTCATTCCCGTGTCGCATACCCTTGCGCTCGTCCCAGTCCGCTTCGCGTGAGGAATGTTATTGCGTAGTTGCACGAGTTCCAGATCGGAACGGAGATGCATTTTAGTCTTCCCACTGCTTTATACAAGGTCGTGAGGTCATCGGGTACGAACGTGGAATTTGAGTTCGGCTGCTTCTGCCGATATGAATCATTCCGTTGAGCATGCTTTACTGGACCTAGTTGTCTCCAACGTCAATACTATTGCCATCTGCAGTTTCCCTTATCAGCTTTTCCTCATTTTTGTCGCTTTTGTTGACTGGTATTGCAAAATAAACCGAAGTGGATGAAGTACGGTTTGGTTCATGATTTCGCCTTGGCTCGGGGACACAAGAACGTGCTCTTCGAAGTGATATAACTTAGAATACAAGCTAGTCAGCCACACCAGAAGAAAAGCCTATACATTCTGAGATTGTTGCATTGTTTTTGTACTGAATATTGCACGTCAGTCTATCTCATCAAAGTCTTAGGGAGGAATATAAAAATTGAAAATTAATGAGGAATGGCAGTAAAGGAATTCGGGAATTTTCGGCTGCTCTCTGTATCAGGATTTGGCCACGTCGCCCCCTTTGGCGACCCAGTCGTTGAAACTCCCACTGTACCACCTGTAAAAAAAAAATTAAATAGTTATAATTTCATTAGGTACAGCAGAATTAATTTTGATTTTCGCCCTCGGGCGATCGGTCTGACTTGAGCCGGTGATATCCGAGGGGTCGGAGCGCTTCGATGGCCAGTTTCGCCCTCCGCCCGGTTCCGCACATCATCACCACGTTCTCCTCCTCCGGATTCGGCTTCCTGCATCCGTATTTCCTCTCGAAGGATTCCGAGTTCAACTTGAAGGCTTCCTCCACCTCCGGAACTGTAACGCGAGCGAAGAAATTCATCAAAATAATAATTGGAATGCAATGGATAGCTCGGGCTTGAACGGACAGCAATATGTCTTTTCAATCATACACGAAATCGCTCATCGGTAATGGACCCAAATTATTTGCATACCCAATGTTTACCAATGACAGGACCTGTTTGGGCATCGTCTAGCCAGAGGCTCGATTCTCAAGGACATCATTTTTTTTTGGTACCTTCCCTCCTTTCATCGTCGCCGCAGTTTTTTTTTTTCACGGAAAAAGCTGCACGCGAATGCCGTTCGTGACGATCCCACCTCGCTCGCCTTGATGACAAGAGAATGCTTTCACATTCGTGTCCTTCGCCTGGCCGACCTTCATCCTTTTTCCCTCCTCGAGGAAGTTCAGAAATGCGGATGGAAAATGCTCACGAGGGACGCAGAAGCTTCCGGGGATCATTCCGGCGCCGCATATTTCCGGACGATTCCGGCAGTCCAGAAGCAGGATTTCCCCCTTGGACAGCTTCTCCCTCACCGCATCGTAATTCACCTCTTCTAGAGCAATGGGGGAAGAAATGCTTCATCGGTGTCGTGAGCAAGAAAAATACTAATAGTACCGAAAAGTACTTCCAGGCAAATAATTGGGATTTTCTCGTAGGAAGGTGATGGCAGTTAAAACATTTGCTTTTCTGTTGAATACGTTAAAAGCAGTCTTCCTCGTTCTGACGAAGGCGGCTCAAAATGAACCGTGTGGCTGGCGAGAATCTGGAATCTACAATCTCATTGTGCATGGTCGAGAATCAAAGTCAGCTCTAACTTCTCGAGCCGGGGCCGCACCGGAAGTGACCATGGGCCGCACTGAAATGGCTCTCGTAAGATGATGATCATGAATTGCACTTGATTAGGTGGTGCGTTATGCCTCGTCTCGGAGCAGATGTTCGACAAATCGTTTCCCTTGCGTTTCCCAGGACAGCTCGACGACGAATTACCGAGACCACAGCTTCGATCATCGAGCTGCATCGTGACGCTCGAGCAAATGCCAAAAAAAAGGGAGAATCTGGAACTCACGCATTTTTGAAGCAGTCAGACTGTATCGATGAAGTATACTTTAGCAACTGTCAAGGATGAAAAGTTCCACGCAGACGGAAACAAGGAAAAATGGAATCGGTGAGTCAGCGTTCGTAATAATTATTGCGGCAAGTGTCTTTGATGTCGCGTGTCGACGATTCCTTCGGAATCATCTCGAGACCCCTCGGGCAACAATGTCGTAAACATTTCGTCATAGAGGGGGCACTGGATTGTCATGGGACCACCCCTTCACCTTAGATTGCCGGAAATTCTGACTTTTCCGTACATGCATCGAAGGCAGACTTGGGGGCTTAATTGCTTCGATGTCCGAAGCCGGACGGCGACGCCGAGAACGCATTGGGAAACCAAATTGGAGTTTGGTCAATTTTATGAATGGTATATAGATTCATTTATGCATAAATTCGTTTATCCTTCCCTCCCCATAAATGCATTTGATGACGTCGTATAGCGATAGACTTTAACTTATTTCGAGGCATTTATTATAAACGTTACTATCATTCCATCAGGATACAGATATGCGCAAATATTGAGGATAAATGCTCCTCGTACAAACGGAAATAACTTTTTTTTTCTTCTCTGTTTATATGACGAGGAAACGGAATCGGAAAGAGTATCACGGTTACCACATACCAATAGCGTGCCAGGAAATCCGAATGGGGGGGGGGGTTGCCATGTGAAACACTGATTACCCACCCTGTATTGCGGTCAATTAAAAAATGTGTACGAACCTGTAAAATTGACCCCAGGGGGGGTTATGACCCCCAAACCCACACACCCCCGTTGGGCACGCCACTGTAACATACAACTCTAAATTGAAAATGGGTAACTTCAGTTCTGAACAGAACCACGGAATGATGCTTGCAGGGAACTTGAGCACATCGCAACAGCCACTCACACAAACGCGAGTTCGAATCCTTGGAATGATGGAACCGAGCACGAACACCTTGCAAGGGCTGGGATGGGAGGTCGCGCGGGGGGATGTGACCTCCCCCACTACGACCGCGCGCCCCTTTCCTCTCTGGGGATGAAGCGCTCCGACGGGAGGAAGTCCTTGAGGCATCGCGCTGGCCGTATTTCGCCATCCTTCCAGGATATCGTACGGCTCTCGCCGAAAACGGTGCATTGCGGTCGAACGGCAGACAAAAATGTATCTTTCGTGTGGTTCGACTTTTCCACTCGGGTGTCGAACCTCGGTGAGTCGCGCATTGTTTTCGAAATCAAACTGAATAGGTCTCAGACGGGGAAGGAAACGGTCGTCACGTGTGCACATGCGCAAATGCTCGCGCAAATACATATCAACAATACCTTATTTTGTGATAATCTCTTTCTAAAATGCTCTACATATTACTTATACTGAAACCAAATCGAAAAATTGCGCTTCTCCTTCAGTCAGGAGGAAATGAAATAATCTGTAACTGAAAATACCGTTCTCGCTTCACTTAGAGAAATGTGTCAGTACGATAAGGAATTGTGAAAGCGATGAACTTTCTAATGAATTTCTCACTGATGGTGGATTTGGACGAAGCGCTGAAAACTGAACACAGCACAGATCCCATGCCGATCGGCGGTCTACTCGTTTCTGGAATGGACGCAGGACGCACGCGAAAGGAATGGAGGAGGTCGCAGGATGCACGTGAAGGGAGTGGAGAAGGTCGCAGGCAATCGGTAGAACTGGATGAGATGATCGGGCTGTCAGAGAGAGGTCTGTGCGGTAAGGCTTTCGCGGGCTCGACCAGATTTGGAACCCTTTTTTACAGGAAGAGCTGGACGCGTTCCCGATCTGAGGCAAGTGTGGTATAGCCTTATTTATAGAATGAGATGCTGACTTGCATGGAAAAGTTTCCCGAGCGGACAGGGACTGGAATTTTCCGTTGATGGATTCCTCGGCTTAATGATACTACCGGTTCGCCTCAATTTCTCATCATTTTCGTTGCATTATACCTTCACACATTAAATCATTCTCATAGCCTCTATGCACGAACCGAACAATATTCCAGATGCCGATTGTCCGTGGCAACAGTAGAGGAGCCAGTGGGGAAAAATGTGGCAAAGTCAGAACCAAATTAAGAAGTTCGACCTTGCTTGAGGAGGGACATTCAAAATTATGGCCAGTCGTCGGGATGGGGCCATAAAGGAAACCGCGAAGGTCTCTCCAGAGAGAACTTCCCTTGGAAATTCAAGATCTCTAGGACTCCTTTCACTTCAGCATAAAGGTACGAAAAAATGTGTTATATAACAGCGGATAGGACGTTCCCTATCCGGGGAATCCTCATCGGCTGGAATCGAATAAAAAAGTTTCAGGGGGATTATGTTCCAACTTTTTCCCTTCCCTTAGGCTTTTGACGATGACCTTGAGACTAATTTTTCGACGCCTTCCCGGCCAGGTCGTTACTTACATTCCCCCAAAACGGAAAGCAATTCTGTTTTTATTTTAAATTATTTATAACAAAAATTTTTATTTTTTTAAAGCAAGATTTGCGTTGCATTCAATCCCTAGATTAGCTCGGTAGGAAAGGCATGGAAAAATGTAGGAACTTTTACGTGAACAATGGCAGTTTTAATCTAGTATAATCTTGATCCAGAGGATACTCTGTTCCAAACGTTTTGTGAACTTTAGTGGCGTCGAAGACACCCATATAGAAAGACATCGAATTCATCTAACATGGAAATTAGAATGACCAGTTTCACGGGAAGAAAAGGAATTCTGGTTTTGGATCTGTGAGAGAGGACTTTGGTATTGAGGGAAGGTTCAGATCGGATCGTGAGTTTGGCATCGGCGAGAATGGTTTCCGATTTTTTAATTATCACTTTTACATTCGCCCAGAAAACGAACCTAGGGTAATGGAGGGATGACTCAATCGAGCGGAGGAGGGACGAATCTGAATTTACCACTCGTGATGACCCACGCGACTGCACGGCATCCCTTGCCATGTCTCGGGGACAGGAGGGAGTCATCCCCGCGTCGCCTTCCCAAGAGCTCGAGTCCCAGTCCGCTTCGCGTGAGGAATGTTATTGCGTAGCCACACTCGGTCCAGATCGGAACGGAGATTCCTCTTCATTCTCCTGCCGGCTCCGCGATGGTCTTGAGGGCACCGGGCACGAAAGTAGAATCCCGGTTTGCTCGCTCATGCAGACCTGAACTTCACCACTACGCATATTTCACTGGATTCGCTAATTCCATGATTCTATTAGCTATTCCTGTTTGGCAATTATGAGAGGTCGATCGGCACAAGTTCCCGGAGGAGCTGATCGTCCTGTATCGATTTAGTGCCGTTCTCTCCAGGCAACCAGTCACCCAGTATAATGATGAAGTTTTATCATTACGTGTCTTTTTCGCAGCGCTAACCGTTTAAGGAAGTTAAATTTTCAAATCCCTGCACCATTTCATCATTATTTACCGGAACAATATTGTTACTGCATTCCGCCATCGAGGCCCAGAACAAGAAATGGTCACCGCATTGATTTCCGATCGGGAAGAAAGGGAAAGACTGCTAGACACTGAACGCGAAAGTCTGTGAATAGAAGGAGATTATGTAGGTTAAGTAGGGGCATATTTGTCCCTTCTTGAGTCTAAATCCTACAAAGAAATGAGTTGGCCAGAAGGTCTTTTTATTTACATGAGTAGAATGAGAGAATGAATTGAGTGAAGGGGAATCTGGAGTTCAATGATGATTGGAACTCAATGGTGTGACTTCATTCCAGTCGCCAGCAGTTAAATTGAGTTCCTTTCCAAGTTTTCCGAGGAAACCCTGGTAATGGACAGGATCCATGTGTTTCCCAAGATTATAGAGAAGGAACCAGTCACTTCGGCCCAACTTCTGCGCCATTTCTTCCAAGAGCCTCCTCCTCCGGTTTCCGGCTCGCAACCGAAGCAAAAACATCCGGATGAATCCCGACAGGAGGGTCGCCGCGCGGTATAGCAGCGCCAGGCCGGAGAGCGAGGCGAGGACGACGAACCAGAACCAGTAGAAGGCGTATATCTTCTCGTTGACGATGTTCAGGGGGAGGACGCAGAGGTTGTCCACTATCTGGATGGAACCGGAGGGGCCGACGGTGTGGAAGGTGCATTTGGTGACCTTGGGGAAGACCTTCGTCATGGGATCCGTTCGATTCTCTTCGTCGGATTCCAGGAACTCGAAGACCTCGGCCCCGTAAGTCGTGAATTCGTAACCGAGGAACTTGTCCGTGAAGTAGATCTGTCCGACGACGTGGCAGAAGTTGAGGATCTCGCAGATCACGTACTGCAAGTACCAACACGAGTGCTTCCCTCTCGTCAGCTTGAGATACTTGACCACCTGCTTCTCTTTCCCTTCTCTTGCTTCCTTGTCCAACACGAGATCGTCCAGGCCGTTGAGCACGCCCTTCAACGTCCCGCCCTCCAGATTCTTCCACAAGAAGTGCGTGGCGTAGAACATGATGGACTGAAGGAGCAAGAAGAACGGGACCCACTGGTAGTAGGCGTGGTACTTCATCTCTGCATCCTTCGGGGGAGGGCCCACGCCGGGATGCGCCACCTCGACTCCCACCTCTTTGTCGTGCAGCTGGGGAAGCGTGAACGTGGACATGATCCAGCAGTAGGTGTTGCACGCCTTCACGAACGGATCGTTCTCCGGATCGTAGTCGTCCCCGGAAAGCGTGGACGGCATGCAGAGGATCGGGTCCCCGATGAATTCGATGGTCGTGACGAGGAAGCATCCGAGGAGGAGCAACATCACCGTCAGCCGGTAGTGAAGACGGAACACGACATTGTCCGCAGACACTTTTTTCGACAGTACGCCCTTCACGTGAGGTCCGAGTTTTTCGAACAAACCGAGCATTTTCACGGCTGGACGTAGGAACGGAGAGGAACTCCACCACTGCCGAGAGGAACTACTAAGTTCGTGGGATTACATACCGCCGTGATAACAATAATAAATATTGACCAGAAGGGGAACTAGATAAGGTCGGGGGGGAAAGAAAAACTCAGCCGTGTTTCCTTTGTTACTCTGATCAGATTTACCTATTTAGTACAGTGCGCCATTAAGTGCATATGGCAATAAAGAAGCAACATGGATTCCTGCCATACCTTCCAGAATTTCTCCCAATTTCCCCTTCATCATCTTCCATTCTTCCAATGGCCTGCCCAAAAAAATGGCAAAGAACATTTGAATTCCGCTGTCTGAACTTCACCGTGGCATTTAACCTCCTTCTGTCTGTAATTTACTTCAATTTCACAATTCCCTCTTTTTTTTTACTCGTTTTTCCTTGTTTTTATTTAAAAAAAAATGATTGTGTTAGTCGTGCATTTTTACATTTACATCCCGCCTCATGTTTTACCTTTTTTAACCTCCGATTTGCCTCTTCTTCTTTATAATAGCGTGATGTAATTTTCACCTTTCATGATAGGTGTGACATTAAACATGAAATTAAGATTAGCGTTTTTTAGATAGCAACCTTCATATGGACGTTGCGACTTCCGAGTCAAATAATAAAAGTATGAGAGTCACATGAAATTGTCACATCACATCAGATATATTTCCGAGTTGTAATATCTTACGACTTGGTGGTCAATTCCTTAGCTTCAGTATTCTGTACGTTTTCCCCCATTCCCCTATGCCGAGATTAAACACCGCAAGTTCATAGGCCCAGAAATAGCACCATGTCAAAAAAATCAATCCACGAAGGACCTTTTTGGAATTACTTACACGAAGGATCTTTTTTTCGAATGGTGCCGGAGTCGAAATCGGGCAGGACCGACTTGCAGTCTTGACTACGCTATACCAAGCCAAAATGTGTAAGGCGTACCTCCAAGCCGTCCTACGAGGATGACAAAGACAATTCAAAGATGATAGGGGGAATTTTGCAGTGGAATTCCCCAAATTTCACCATTGAGAGACTCAATTGTGAAATTTGGTGAAATCTCTTCTCATGTTTCGGCTTGCAGAGTCATGAGTTTCGGATATAAAGCAGATTCTCCTCTTTTCCCCCTTTTCTCCTCCTTCTCAAGTTGCTAGAAGGCCTTTTTATGTAAGGATTCAGTGGCAAGGGTAATGTAGGAAGTGTAACAATTTGTATGAATACGAATTAAGTAATAGGGTTGAATGGTTCCCCCTTGCCCGGTCACTTTACTCAAATTAACATTCTTGTTCCTTATTGTAAAACGTTTCAAGTTCGTGATATTCTGACCTCGGGATCACCTCAACTTGACGGGAAAATACTAAAAATCGGGGGAAAATGCCTGCAATGTTTCGAATACAATTTGAGCAATTCCAGACTCAGGGGTCCAACGGAACTCACATGGCCAGATAAGGGTTAATCCCCACTTCTCTGTTTGCTGTGGCACACGCATGGGTTTTTCTCATTATCACCGGAAAGTATGCGCAGACGAAGCCGGAATGGGGCTTCGTCTAACGCATTCTCTCCTAAACAGTACTCTCCAGTGAGGTCAGAGTTTTTCAAGCAATCCAAGCATTTTCTCCGATGATATCGATGGGCTCGCATGATCGTGGCAACAGAGAAATATGCCTAATCTAATCTTTTTGATTAAGTTACAGGGACATAGATACCATGCTAGTATCAGATTTAAATATTGACCAGGATAACAGCTTATGCAACATATACAGTCCAAAAAGAAAGGGGATTTCTTTGTCATTTTAAATCCAGACAATATTTACCTATCAGCAATCAATATGGCATTATGCAGAAATGCGGTCCAACGACCACCAGTGACGGGAAAACGCGAAAGAGGATATGCGTTATCTTCCGGAAATGATAATAATTTGGCTTTCACCATTTGACTTTCCAATGCTGACCGAAGTGAGCTCGGCAAATATTGAGGTTGCTATCTTCTTATTTCTTTATTTTTCCTTTGGTCTCTCTGCAGTTGCCTCCAGCCTCCTTCTCTCCCACTCTCTTCTCTATAGGAATGACAAAGGTAGGTTTAGTCCTAACCCACAGACTGCATCAAGGTCTGGCGCAGGTCAAAAAGAATCTCATCTTTCGACCTACGGGGCCAGGTAAACCTGTACGGATGACTATCGGGGTGCCAGGAGATACCTCGATGAGGACGTGCGACATGCCGCGTATCTGGTGCTTCTCTCTCCCTCTCGACTCGGGTATCTTCGGTCAGGCTCTCTCTGAATTTTAATGGCATGTTGGACTCCATTCTTTTCATTCTGGGATGGTCGTGTTTTTTTATTATTATTATACCACCTTATCCCATGCACTCAGCATGAGCATGAATGATACCATAAAAAATGAAAATCCAAGCACTGATGCGAGGCAGAGGTAGTCATGAATCCGACATAACAGCAGCGCGATAACTAGCAAGGAGGGGCGAGGAAGCACGATAAGCCAAAATAAGCGGCGGCTAGTTTCATATTTCAAAGCGAAAAAATGTTACATTGCAAACAATGAAAAGGGCCCTATCTCGCTCTGAAAGTCAATTTATTTATTTTGGCGCGGCTGCTCCCTCCGAAACCCCAACAGGTGAGGCTACCCGGGAAGAAGGAAAATACCGTAATTAAATTCAGGCTCAAAAGCAGGATTCTGTATTTTTTACGAAACTTTTGGGAGACGGAACTTCAAACTTCCTGGAACGATTTTGTGCTCATAGAGCTTGAAGATGAGGTGGAATCTTGCAACGGGAAGGGGTTCGGGAAAGGGAGCAGTAAGTAAACGAAAAAATATGCACACATTAACCTGGCTTCTTGAGTGGATCTCTCATTTTCTTTTTCTTTTTCTTTTTGTTCTTGAAGCATCCATGCATTCATATTGCCATACCGAAGAATTGTGTGCCAGTGAAATCTCCTTTTATCTTCCGTGTTTCGGTATTAAGTACATTATGACTTTCCCTTGATCCTCTCAGGTGAACGAAGGAAGATGGTTGGGCGCGTGCAACTCGTTGCTCTCGATCACTTCCTAATTTTGGAAACAGTGCATCCCTGTGCCTGCTTATATTGATTATCATGATAAACCTGACGGATGCTTCGAGTTTGAAAGCGTAATGCAATCATTAACGCATCTTATCTTATCTGTGGCTGGCCCGCGTCTGTATCTAGGATACGCTATCCTGCTCTTATTTGATGTGACGGCCAACGGAGCTCCGTTTACGAGTGGTATCTCTCGAATTTCCGTTAATCGTGACTTAAAAGTATTACTGAGCTGAGGTTAACAGGGTGAGTCTGATTCTTGCGAAAATCTCGTTTGACCCTGTCTTGGAATGAAGGACCGTGCAGGGAAAGTAAATTGACCTGCAGGATTCTTCATGATGTAACACGCGTAAAAGTTCTTCCGTTGACTTAACCGTGGGGGAGATAACAGCAGTCTGCTCTGAATGACACCTCATGAGTTGCATGGCGAGACCTTGAATTTGAGCTTGACTTGTATGAGATAGAAAGACCATCTGTTTAGGACATTTCCTAGGCCTCCTATTAAATGCCACGTATATGTTATTCAGCATCCGCTTATGATGATGAATTAGTGGTTCGGTGGCTACTGTTGACTATACTGGTGGTCTGTTTGCAGAGGCGAGGTAATGGGAGACGTATTTGCGTGTAGCTGGGGTGGAGAGATCCGGGAAAAATAGCTCTGCGGAAAATTTCATCGTAAGAGCAAAATTCGTTTACCAACCATTGAGGTCTATTACATGAGGGTGACGACGTCTGTCTCGAGATCAAAATATGAAAATAGCGTAAACTTGTGATTAAATTCTTGCTCGTGACTTTGAAATGGTTTTGAAAGTCAAAGTTGGAAGGAAAAAGAAATAGTCAGTCCCGACGATGTCCGTAAGAAACCTGGAGACAGGTAACTACTTAGGTCCTTGTAATAATGGATCAAGCAGAGGTATCATGTCTAGGATTAAACGCCAGACTTCATTGGCAGAAATGAAAGTGAAGGATTCGCGGGCAAAGACATAACATTGATAGCACGAAAATTTCTCTGACTAATGTGTATACCTTGGTTTAAGTGTCAATTTTGATGAACTCTTTGCTTTTTGTCTCCCACTAGAATCCACTTTTCACCCAGGCACGAAGTTAGAATGTCCAGTGACATTAAAGCTGTCTTGGAGAAGAAGAAGGCGAGACTACTTGCTCTTCGAGAGGCCAGGAGGAAAAAACAGGAAGAAGAGAGTGCCAGAGCTGTGAGTATTTCTTTATTGCTGCTGTGAACTTCCGCGGCTGAAGTTGCTTGTCTCAAGCAGATCTCATGCTATATTCGTATCCCTACTGTTACCCATGGCCAAAAGTATGCCACTATCATCATGCCGGGCAGGCTCGAGAAGTGTGGAGGCCTAAGCTTAAGTTGCCAGCCATGTCCTTTCTTAATTTGCAATTTTTAGCTTCTATGAATACGGAAACCCAAGCCATTAAAACCATGATAATGGATGCATGTTAAATTGATCATCTGAGATTTTGCGAAGTTGCACCCATGTCTTTGGCTCTGGCTTCAACTTTGGCTGGGAGGCCGAGCATTTTCGAGTCCGAAATCCATGAAATGGAGAATGGGCACTGAAAATGCCACTAGGAATGAATGGTGTAGAGACGTGGGGACGGACTGGGATTAAAGGCAAACTGTCATTTAGAAGATCACACTGTTGTTATTGCATGAAGGTCTTGGGCAAGGGTACCAGAGTAGTGGGCAATTCAACCTGTAAATATTCTTTACTCGTTGTTGATTGGATAGTAACCAACGGCTTCTACTTCTGGTTGAATCCATTTCCACAATTTATGTAGCTTTTCTTGAGATGATGGTAACTGCTAATTAAATCCGCATTAAATATTGTGCATTATAAAAACAAGGCAATCGACCAAACCGGGAGCCAGAGTCATGCGGAATTGGACATCAACGAACTCATTCGAAGTGTGGGTTTGTCTCCCGTTCCCGTTATTAGGGAGACTGCAGCTGGCAAGTCTTCTCTCCTTTCATTACGTGTGATATGTAGATGGTAAGTGTTCCATATAAGACGTATTGAACAGTACGAGATTCTCCAGGTGAATGGGGACCAGATATTTCATTAACAACTGGCAGCAACTGGAGTGCATCTAAAGCTCTAGACACCCGTCCAACAGCAGCAAATTCTTCTACACGACATCCTTGGTAGGTCAGAGTTGAACAAATATCCATATCGTCGACCTGCGTGTTTTGAGCTCACGTATTTACCTCTTAGTCCGAGAAAGGTGGAGCTGAAGATAGTTCAAGTGCATGAGGCCCACATTCTTCCCAAAGAGCATTTTTTATACGACAAGGGGACTCAGACCAAATCAACTGAAGAACCTAATGAAAGTAAGTACATGCAATCCTACTGCAGTGCTGATATTATTGTACAGGGTGTCCCAGAATTGATTTAACATAGTTTCGCTTAGCTTTGTGCCGAGAATGGCGTCGTCTTGCTGGCGTTGCGTGGTAGCCTAAGGTGGCCGAGGCCTAGGTCACAGCGACCCGGAAAGAAACCCATGTTTAGTTGATTCTGGGGCACCTTGTATTTGTCTAATATAGGTCAGGGAGAAGATGATCTTGGTGAACGCACGACATGAGGATGCTTCCCCTTCGATAATAACGTTTCAATCCTGTGGATCAGAATTGATTTAGTAAGACATTCGTTGTGCCCGCAACTCCCGTCTTGCAACCGTTTCATGAACTCTAACTAACTCTAAGGGCAGCAGTTGCTTAATACGTCACATGAACCAATGATTGCATGTAAAAGTTTCTTATTTTTAAAGGCATGAAACGTGGAGCGTCAGATTTAAATTGCTTTTGGATCATCCTCTTTTCTTTAATACTAGGGTGTACTTATTTGGTTAAATAGCTTCCACTCATATTGCATGCCCATATTGTGTGCAAAGGTTAGAAGTCGAGAAAATGCTCAGAATTGGACAACCTAAGTCGTATAACAGAAATTAAATTATGACTTGTCACAAGAAAATTTTACTTATTTTCAATCGTGGGCAGTACTGCAAAAAACCGGACGTTAATACCTCGTGTTCGATATGGAGCTCGAATTAGATCTTAATGCAGAATACTTAGAATGCATGAGGTTGCATGAAACATGGTGGAAGCGTGATACTTCCCTTAATTACCAGCAATTCACTCTTTTAATCCTTGCTGCTTGCATTTTGTCGAGAATTCGCCCCACCTCATTGGCCTTGATTATTCCAGTCCTGGCTAGTGGCATTGCAGATGAAGGAGAAAAGGATTTCCCGGAAGTTTCCCATGCTCCTATATTCCCAAGCGAACTCCAACTAGCGATGCCACCTTCAATTGAGGAAAAGGGCTCCGCCAATAACCAAAAGGACACATTAAAAACAAGTAAATGCATTCATCATCTCTCACTGTAACTCGGTTCCCATTGCTCTATATGCTGGAGTCAGTATTTCATGCAGGTGGAGAGCTGAGTGAGGGAGAGAAACAGACGATAATGACGAGCGAAGAATTTCTAGGATTCTTCGATCGAGCATCTCGTTGCATTGAGCGTGTCCTAGACGAGGAATCAGATCTCCTGTTTGATATCTCCGCTGACTTGAATGGAGACGTCAATAGGTGCTTCTCTTTTTCGTGTACTGTATTGACATACTCGTGAATAATAGCGTAGGAATAATTTTACAGCAACGAGATATCCCTCATTCAGCAGAGAACGGCAGTGACGACGACTTTCTGTGAAGAAAAAAATTATTGTGAAGACCCTCAATAGAAACTACTAGATATTCAAAACATCATACAGCTCATGGAGTTATGATCTTCTGCCACTGGCACATAAGAAAATGTGTGAAATAAGAAAACAAATGATTGAAATGCACTCATTACAGAAAATAAATCTCTTAATGAAGCTTTACAGAAGGACGAAGCACAAATGTGCATATTATTAATAATACGACATATGAAAATTACTGATACTCATAGCATGGTTTCCATAACATTTTTTTTAACACCCTGTACATTCTTTTTCTTTCTTAGAGAAGAGAAGACTGGGCAGAGGGTGATATTAAACCGTTGCTTTGACGACGAGCGATGGTCAAGGAATCGAGTGGTTACTTCGATGGATTGGTGCCCACAATATCCAGAGCTTCTGGTTGCGAGCTATAACAATAATACCGCAAACCCAAATGATCCAGAAGGTCTGGCTCTCGTATGGAACACTCGCTTCAAGAAGAAAATACCGGAGTATATCTTCCATTGCGAATCTCCTGTCATGAGTGTCTCCTTTGCCAAGTGAGAGGATTAACTTCATTTACAAGGAAAGTCCATTCCCAGTTCATAATCCCTAAATAATCTGGTTTTGCAATTGAGCTGATATATATCTCCATGTCAGGTTCCATCCCAACTTGATCCTCGGTGGGACCTACTCGGGACAGTTGGTACTCTGGGATAATCGGGTTCATAAACGAACCCCAGTCCAAAAGAGTCTACTCTCTCATGTGGCACACTCTGTGAGAATCATTCTCCTTCCGCTTAAAGACTCAAAGGAAATGGTATATGTTACTCGTGTTATCCTTGCAGCGTCCCATATACAGTGTGACTGTTGTCGGAACAGGACAAGCACCTGCTGTGGTCAGTGTCAGTAATGACGGTCGCCTCTGTACCTGGAGTCTAGAAATGTTGGCAACTCCTCAAGAATCACTAGACCTGGTTTATAAGGGAAACGACGTCCCTGTATCATGCCTCTCTTTTGTACATGATGACCCCAATAACTTTTTTCTTGGATCTGAAGATTCTAGCGTCTATCATGGTAAGTATCTTTTCTTTTTTCACTCATCATATATCAGTATGACCTAGCGTTGATGAAGTCTGCGTATGTGCTCAATAGCATGTCGTCACGGGAACAGGGATGGGATTGTGGAAGCATTCGAAGGTCATCAAGGGCTAATCACGGGGATCGACACTCATCATGCCCAAGGATCCGCTGATTTCTCTCATCTCTTTCTTTCTTCATCCTTTGACTGGACTATTAAGCTCTGGAGCGCCAAAGTCTATCTTCGAGTGTCTCCTTTTTATCGCCTTAATTGCAGGAAACTCGATCTCAGTAAGTGAGGTCGAATATTCTCATTCTGGTATTTTATGAATTGTTCGATACAGGACGAGAAGCCTTTGCATTCGTTTGAAGACAACGGTGAATATGTCTATGATGTCGCGTGGTCCCCCATACACCCAGCTGTCTTTGCGGCTGTTGATGGTAATGGTCGCCTGGATATCTGGAACCTGACTTTGGACATCGAGGTGAATTCCTTTTGCTTCCTTTCCATATTAATGCGGCTTTGCCGATAGAAAATTTAAAGCCTGATCATTCATAAATGTTTCCATAGTCCGCTGAGCATTGATGCCAGCGTTAGAAAGCTATGTAAAAGGAATTGAAGAGAACTAGATTTCTTCCATCTTCCATATTTCAGGATTTCACATGCAACTATGCAATGATTTTTACAAAATGATTAAGACGGATACGTTTGAAGTATGCTTGACGTTCTCCCGAGCACTTGGGCATAAATTTTCCCTTTATGTAGAAAATTGTAATACGACTCGTGAAAGAGGGCTTTTCTTCGCCGACCTAACAGCTTTCTTCCGCAGGTGTCTGTCTCAGCTCACAATGGTATAGTGTGCATATCTCCATAGTGGAATAGACTACTCACCTTTGTAGTTGATTGGTCCTGTGAAAATCTTTCTCAGTTTCCAACTGCGTCCGTGGTTGGGGAAAAAGGGGTCGCTTTGAATCAAGTATCATGGGCACAGTCTGGTCGGCATATATGTGTCGGAGATGGGAATGGTCGCATTTGGGTCTATGATTTGGATGAGGTGAGTCGTGCACAGATAAGCATTAAAAAATCACGATGGAAATAGGCTGATTAGTTTCGGCAGCGTTGCTTCTACTACTAGTAGAATGATTTTCAAGTTTTGGTACCCAAATGAAAATGCGACATTGGCGAGCAATATATGAGCTAAGAAAATCATCGCCTCTAATGCTAATATTCTTTGTAGTTCCTCGAAACTTAGAAAAAGGACATTGTTAACAGTTCTAATTTAAAAACTGATGAAAGCATAATACAATTATGTTAATAGTTTACATATTTGGCTTTGCGTAATATTGAAAATGAAGTTTTATATGATGAATCTATTTATATATCACTCTTCCAACTCTATTGGTGGTTTTCTGGATACCTTCAATAGAAGTTTCATTGAAGACCACGATTAGAGCTTCGAAGGACGGAAGATGTTAACCTAGATTTTGCCGGGCATAATTACCTAAGTTGACTGTGCCACTCTTTGCTCTTTGCAGACACTGGCTCTTCCCAAACCAGACGATTGGAGCAAAATGTCACGCACTCTACAAGAGATGAAGATGAATCGTTCGGACGATATGCAGATCTCTGCTTCCCTTTTCTCATACCCCATTTCTTCTCCCGTGACCTCTCTGAGGCTATGACTTTCCTTAAACCTCTCATCTTTCTCATCATCCTTTACGCTAAAACCCCATCAAGCAGCAGTTTTTTTTAGCTTATTGGGTTTTGAATTATTTTTCATTTGACTTGTTTTATGCTGCCTTTTTTAAAGTTTTCTTCATTGCAGCCTGCAACCTTAAGTTATGTCTTATGCAGATAGCAAAATAACTGCCCGTAGCTCACGAAATCGTTGGCTGCATTCTAGCAGTGTAAGTTGGCTGTCTGAGAGTCCGACTAAGTAGTCGGATTTTTAGGAACAGTTTCACGGGGTTCAACATTTTAAAAGTCCATTACCTAAAATGTAGCACAGTCGCGCTTCATTGAAATACATGAAATTAGCATTTGCAAGTAGAAAGACCCTTATTTTCTAGTTGTTTGAACTTGTGCTTTTGTCAAAGTCTGTTTCATGCTGACACAAGTTACGTGTATTCAATGCCCAGATATTCAATAGTACGATTTCATGGAATGAAGTGGTGCAAAGACAACTGCTCCCATTTCCCATGGTTTTCTTCGTCTTAACGCGTTCTTTGTCATAATCGAGGAGGATCGACATCATCGATGATGAGTGAAAGCCACTTTAAAAATGTCATCAAGTGAAAGGAGGATTCCACTTTTTGTGCAATCGATGTTCATATCTGTAGTTCCATTACATCCCCTCAAGCTCGCAGCACGTTTGGGAAAACCTCCATTAATATCTGATTTGATGATTTTTTTTTACGACTCTGGTCGTAAATACGACTCTGGTCTCCTCATGAAATAATGGCAGCAGAAGTAATCAAGAAGAGAAGAGAAATAACAATGCAGGCAGATCAAGGGGAATCATGGGGAAGGGGAATCAAAAGCAGTCGTGAGCGCACGAAGAGCAGCGTAGTGTCGTTTGACTTTCGCCTGCGTAAAGAGTCAAGGCAAGTCTATGGACTGACTGCCTCCGAAACTCATAGCGTGCTTAATACCATTACCAGCAGGAATGTCCAAACATGGTATTTCCAGGTTCAGCCGCTCCAATTAGCAATTGCAAAGCACCATATCAATCTCAGCTCATCCCATGAATTCCGCACGAACATGACACACAACATTTAAAAACCCCAGAATATTCATACTGCAATAAGGAGGCTGAAGCAGTCATGATTCCTATGTAACTCGAGCACGATATCCAACAACCTTTGGGGGACGATACTGGAGCCAGCACGCATAACCTAAATAAATAATTAATTTGTTTTCGTGGCGGTCTAATGCAACGTAAGCATCATAAGAAAAGGGCACTATACGTGATGTATAAGTCAATGTCTATCTTTGGTTTAGAGTACCTCTCATAAAACACCCCAGGGAGGAATACTGAGATGGGGGGGAGAGAGAGAAAAAATTACTGGAATGAAACTGGCACAAAAAAAAACAGGGAATCAAAATTCTCCGTAACCTCATGGTGCTGGAGCTTCAAGTTTATTAGAGCAATTTAGCGTTGAGAGAATTGGAAGCGTGCCCAATTTTTTTCCCGTAATACCGCGTCTTAAAAAAGCATACCATTTTAATCTACATCCCATTTCAACATGTGCTTCTCATTTTCAGCACATGAAGTCTCGAATAAATAATTAAAACTTCTACCAATTGTAGTGAGATCTCACCTACAGATCCAAAGGCAATAACATTCCAGAAATTAAATTGTCAACATTTTCAGGGAAGAACCAATCTTCGTGAAGGGCAAAAAGGGGCTTTTCATCATATATCCCAGTATTTTCACAGTCGATATTTAAAATATCCAACCTTAACTCAACTTTTCGTCCTTTTATTCAGGCCTAAGCCTAACCCCACATTTTCCCTTTTCCAGTCCTTTTCATACAGTGAATTATGGTGTTCAAAATTACGAAGAACATCGTGGGATAGACGAAGAGAAGAAGCGTATGCTCAAAGGATGCTGAGAGATGGAAGAGTACAATTATTGCTGGTTCAAGAATACATTTCCGTTTGGAGGTCAAGGTCAAGTTAGGGTCATGATCAGTTGTTCGTAAACACTTGAGAAATTGCATCTATTGGGAGAAAAGGACGTTGCGTCAGGCCAGGTTGAAGTCAAACGTTGGAAAATTTGAGACTGCTGAGTAATCGGTCCTCAATCAATTAGGTTTAAGATTGTGACACAGTGTACTCTCAGGCAAGAATACGTGGAGGTTGACATTCATGACATGGAGGGGTTGAGGAAAGGGAAGATGCACCAGTCAATATTGATATGTAACAAATGTGTCAGCTTTCGACTGGGTCGACGTGCATTTTAATCTACTGAATGAGAATGACTTTTTGCGAAACGGTATTTACTCATTGAGCCATCATCATAAATACACATGCACCATCATATAAATACAATTCAGCAAATAAATATACAACTCAGTAGATAAAATTAAACAACACAAGGAGTACGTGTTCAAGTAATTACTGTAAGTGCCAACCTTGTGATCAAGTACACCCACAACTTTAAAATATTAATAGTTCGCATCTGTGCGCAATACATAGCCTTTCGTATAACTTCACACTGTAGGCCTTCAGGGTGGTAACTCCATCTCTATTCACTAATCGTTATCAGGTCCCTGAAAAAAAAGTATGACATGAAATCAGACATATCATAAATTAAAACCTAATATGGATTCCGTAATTCCTGGTTAGAATGTTGAGATCATGGACTTCTGTGCCTCACGCAATTATATCCTTTCCTGAATACTATAAAACCCTTTTTTCTCGCGCTGCTTCATTTTCGTAATATTCGCGATCAAAATAATGCTTTACTGGTATCCCTCAAAGAAACACGCAACGAATAGTATATGTCGGTAATGTGATGATGGAGGCATGCAAGTACGTTTTACTTTGTCGCCTTTTCATGATGCCTTCCATGTGAATGCCATCATGACTCTTGCCCAGAAGCATAAGCTCATTTAAAGTAGCTCCAAACGCCAGCATTCATGTGTACTTTCTGCGCGAGGCATTCTATTACTTCCAAATGAAGGCATGCCATAAAATTAGCAATGCAACGAGTATATTCCTTCTTTTACAGCGCCGTTAAATACTGAAGGGAAAGTGGCAATATGTAAATAATGAAATATGGTCAAAATCAATTGATCCACTAAAGTAAGGGAGTTTCCAAAAACCGTCAACATGTTCATCCCAAAAAAACAATATTTCGGGAGAAATAAGAATAACTCCAGATTGGTATTGTTTCATTAAAAATACCTTCGTGGGAGTCATCGCGTCGCCATCTCCAGAACACTTTTCATGACGATGACCCTCATTCCCGCTCGCATCATCTCTGTCTTCTCGACGCAATTTCAATTCCTCTGGAAATGGAAAGGAATTTTATTATAACACGAGTGGGAAGTATCATACATGAGAGGGAAGAGGGGTGGGGGGTGGGGAGGTATGGAATATGAGATCTCAAATTTCTTGGCTCTCTTCACTCATTCAAGAAGCATTTCAATGGAACTTTCTCTACTTTATTACTTCGTTCCAGACAAACATGGAAATTGAACATGAGCTATTTTGAATTATTATAGGGTATTCATTTCCCGTAATCAGAGGTCATTATATATACCTTCGTGAGCTGTCATAAAACGGCAGCTGAGAATGACGCCAACTGGCATACAACTCCACAAAGGAAATCATCGAAAGATGATCATCGCACATACAAAAAAATTAAATTAATTCATGGGATAAACTTGAAATGAGAAGCGTTCTGGTCCATCCACCGCATTACGCTTCTTCACAATGTGCTGTTCAGCATGAAATGTATTACATTCTATTTACTTGTACATGGAAGGTCGTATCATACAGCGCCGAAGGTGCGTCCATAGTGAGTTTGCCCTGCGGACAAACTCTTTAGTTACGAAATAATATTGTATCATAAATGTGTGCTACGTTAAGACACACTTGTTTGTTACTGTGTACTGTCATTTCAAACCTCAAATATGACCACATGCTAATATACTGTAGAGGCGTAATCTGTGGTCGCCTGAAAGTGTTAATTAATCTCCCTTCCTGTCCCCACGCGTATCCCATACTTACTGCAATTTAGATGGAGCTCTCCATAAGAGCTCTCCTTTGCTAATTCATTCGAAGAGTTATAGTGTGCATTAATAAAAAAATACTAATTTGTACTCGGGTCCAGCAATATTTTTGAAGGGACTTTCTGCACTTTCATTACCTGGAAAGTGTTCTTATGAAACAAGAATCGCATACATTTCTGCCGGGAAAATGCGATAACTGAAGTATTGAGCACTTAATATGCGCAGGAAATCGGTTAGGAAACAGTTTTAACACTTTCAGTTCCGAAACCGGAAATCTCCGGCGTATGTTTTTCCGCTCCTACATCTCGGAAATATAAATGTTCTATATGGAGCATGTCAACTTCTAATTATTTATAATTGAACAAATCAATGATAGATGTCTCTTGAAATATGTATACACGCTAGCACACAGTCCAGGCAACATGTACACTGCAAACTGAAATATAAGTGTTACAAATTAAAAAGATTTGCTTTTCCAGGGACTACAGAGTTTGCCTCATACACAAAAAAATTGGGCAACTCAGTACCTTGTGCTCCATGCCAGGCTCCTTTCCACAACTGGGTAGTGTTTCATGAGATACCATAGCACTAAGGAGTACTAGAGATACCAGACTACACTCTCTGAAAATTAGATTTGTAGTTTTGTAGTTTTTGGAGCAGTTATTTTCTAGTAAATAAAGTAATGCGAAAAGCAGAGCTAATCGTAAAATGGCAGGACTGGAGGAGTAGACTACAATATTTAAAATTTGGTCTGAATGTGTTAAAATAGCGATCCGCACCTTGGCTGAAAGGTGGCAATCCCGCCATGTTCCTATCTAGAACCCATAGTATGGGTGCCGTGTGATAGTACCAATGCACGTCCACCCTCCCTCGAAAGGAAATTCTTCTCAAGGAGGAGGGGATCCTGCGTTCTCCATAAACCTGGGGGAGCTTCTCCACTGAAATCCATGCCTCATGTGCGCCAGCCCCT